AGAGCGAGAGAGATAGAGAGAGAGAGAGAGAGAGAGATAGAGAGAGAGAGAGATGAGAGAGAGAGAGAGAGAGAGAGAGAGAGAGAAGAGAGAGAGAGAGAGAGCGAGGAGAGAGAGAGAGAAGAGAGAGAGAGAGAGAGAGAGAGCGAGAGAGAGAGAGAGAGACTCAGCATTTCTGGACCCCTGCTTGAACGTTCCTTTCGTGCGATGTAAGCAAACGGGCCGCAGAACGACTGCCTTGTGTTTTTAAGTGCCCAGTAGCCAGCGCTGAATGATAACGACGACGGATGCATAAAGTGTGACTGGCCCACGTCCGCGGGCGGAGATGGCGGACATCACTGAACGGCGCTCCGACCATCAGCCATTTAGCCACGGCCACCGGACGGCAAACCCAGCCCCACAGCAGCCGGTACCAGACCCGGCTTCATCCAGTCCCTCCACACAACCTCCGGCGGCCCTGACGCTCGTTCGCGCGCTCCAAAAAAGCTCCGTCACCGCCAGAATCCTAATGCAGCCGGTCACCGCGACAGCAGAGTGGCGTGAGTCACCGCCGACACTGCCAGCGACGGGGGCGGGCAGTCGTGACCTTTCACCCGCCCGCCCCGCTCCCAGCCTGCAAACGGTGGCAGGGCGCTGTTGCGCCAGAGGCGGTGAGAGGCGGAGCTGGGTGCTCTGCATATGTTCTTCGCAGGCATCACTGGCGCTACTTTGCTCCCCCATGGTTCGGGCGTGTGTCCTTAGCCCCATTCCAGGGGGTGCAGCCCTCGTCCCAGGCCAGGGAGTGTCTCCCTAGCCCCAACCCAGGAAGTGTATCCCTAGCCCCCACCCAGGGAGAGCAGCCCTCGTCCCAACCTAGGGAGTGCATCACTAGCCTTACCCAGGGAGTGCATCCCTGGCCCCTGCAAGGGAGAGCATCCATTGGCCTCAGTCCGACCCACTTCGGACCTCACTCGTCCCGAAGGTGGCCTGCGAAAGATTGATAACACTGTCTTGAGACGCGGGTGACAGCGCCCGCATGCCACCACGTTTAACTCACATTGGATGTGACATGCTCGTGGAACGCAAAGCCAAAACTGTCAGCGACTGTACTCTTGAAAGTAACACCCATTTCCATGATACATTTACAATCGTTCTATCAGCTTCTGGCCAATAGTAAACCACAAGTGACGAATTTTGAAATGGATAGGTAGACAAGAGCCGGGACAAGCTTTGACTACGGCAAGACAATTACTCTCAAAACATTCAATGCAATGTGTTGCAATGCAAATATTCGGGCATAAAAATGCGATCAGGTTCAACACTTGTCCCCATGTAATTGCAGAACGCATTTTCGGTGCTGAGTGCTAACGATCTGCAGCTTTCCAGCCGGCTCGCGACGGCAGCCGAGGACTTCTACATTGATGTGAGCACTGTGAGCACTTGACAGCGGGCGCTGACCACAGTAACGTACCCTCAGGGCAACGTTAAATTTTGGGGGAAGTTGAGGGTGACTTTGCCCTATTTGCTCTCGCCTCACACGGTCCCGGCGCCACTGGGTTTATTTCATTCCTGGTGAATTGAATCAATCTCGACTGAAAATGATTTGGGGCCACATCATGTTATGAGTCAATTATTTTAGATTAAACAGTGGTATTTTACAAACGTCCCTCTCTGGTCGGGATTTCCATACTGATGAATACGCTATGTATCGAAACGGACGTCCAACCTTCACGGGCAAGACTTGCCGTAGCATCGGCGGTTGTTTCATTGTCAGCTTTGCAAACAGCTCATATCCTTAGTCGGCCGGATTTCCCCTTATTGGAACAGCTTGAAGACACAAAGTAAAAACACATGACCCATAGTGATTCCTCAAAAATAGTGTGAATGCCCTAAAAGGAGTGTTCTTCATCTGTATGGACCGCAATAGCCACCTTGAAGATCATTTGATGCAGTTCACAGCCCTGTCATTGTTAATACCTAGACACCTAGTTTCTGAGCTACACCCCTGCGAAGATGAGCATACCATTTCGTGCAGGCTTTTTCAATGTTGCCCACGCATCCATGACGCCATAATAACGTAATTCAAATCCTGCCACTCCACTGCCCATGCGGCGATCAAGGCCAGGAAAGGTATGATTGTCGAGCCGTTTATACCTGGCGCTCGTGAGCACGATTTTCAGAACTAACGGCCATCAATTAGCTCTCAATCAATTTTGAGCAAGGTAAGATGACGCAATGCAACAATACCGTATTGAAGAGCATGTTTACAAACTAGAAATTATGTTGTCTACAGCAGTATTTTTCGGTTAAAAGGATACCAGTCATTATAAGCTGCTTATTTCATCATGTCCACAATAAAACGGTTCTCTGACAGAAATTACAGGTCTTTTGATACCATGACTCTGTTAACAGCAAGACAGATCTCTGACAGAAATTACAGGTCTTTTGATACCATGGCTTTGTTAACATCCCGTCTGTCTACCAGTATCTCTTTGAGTGAAAGTCGGTTACTGACAATGTAACTAAAATATAATCATCAACGTGACAATGTCGCAAAAGGCATAAATATATACTAATGATTCCCCGCAAATCAACTTCATTTGCTTCCCATGCTCCCAACCAAACAATGCATTGCTTGATTATGGAGTCGGCCCAAAGAAGCTTAAATGGAAGTGAACGCTGCTCAAAGAGGGAGAGCACAACAGGTAACTTGTTCTCCGAAACTCATGAAACTACCTGAGAATCCCAACTAGCCAAAATGCAAGCTGTTCATAAGGGTTGGAAATCATGTGGATTTGAGTAAAAAAGAGTAGGATTAATTTTCCACTGAACCCCTGTCTCTGCTTTTCGGAAATGATACTTCTACGCTGTAAATGAATCTGCAAATATTACTGGCATGCATTCCAACTTGATTATCCCATTGCACACGAAAAGCTGTGAAACTCGAACACCTTGCCACGAGTTGCTTGCTCTTGCTTTCTCCTCTGCATTGCAAAATGGGATTGGCGGCGCAAATTTCTATAGTTTTATATGCCACGTGAACCATTATTATCATGAAAAAATACGTAAGTTGCTAACTGGAGATGCGAGGAACATCATGCACATAGATAAGACAGTAGGAATATCCCCATTCCTCGAAGAAAAGTATCAGGAGAGTGGAGATATGGATGCGTTGATATTTCGACAACTCGCCTATATCGGAACAAATAGCACAAGTAACTTCAAAATTGCCTGCCGATGATTCCTCGATTTTCGCATTTTTTTTAACCTGATCTATCAGAACTGTGGCTCGCTGTTTCAAAAACAAAAACTAAAAACCCAGTACGATCATCGGTTGGCAATTTTCAATTTGCTTCTGCTATTCGTTTTGATCAAGTCATTTTGCCGAAATATTACTGCATCTACATCTCCATTGTCCCGGTTTTGCGCGACGAATGAGGCTATTACTGTAGTCTTATCTACGATCCTAACAGCCAAGGTCGGAGTAATTGCATGGGGTGTCTAAATTTACCATCATTATTACGTCTGTGCATGGAAATCCGTTAAAACCGACCCATCCATGATTCCAATAACCTGAACCACATCTATCGTGATTTTGAGTCACGCTGCCATTGCGTGATTCCCGCCGGACTTTAGCCGCGTAAGTAGTTCGCTTGAGCGGTATCTGAATCAGTCCTCGGCAGACAGAGCTGATTGTGTGCGCACCAGAGGTGCCAACTTAAAACCTGCACGCCCGCAGAACGCGGGTCAAGAGCTCAAAAAGGTACCCCCTGGTCCACAAGAGCGGCCGATCGTACGCTCCGCCGCCGCTTCCGCAGGCTTCAGTGCTGTAGGCGAGAGGTATCTCGCTTGGGCGCTTTTTACTCGCGTGTCGCGGGCCTGCATACCTAAATGTAGCACCTCTAGTGCACAGTGACCTTGCCACACAAATGGCCCCGGTTCCAATTTTACCCAGCCTTATGACCATGTAGATGTGAGGGATCTTGCAGCACCGTGACACGGCAGTCTCTGGCATGGCTTTCCACAACGTCGGTGACCAACGACGCTCGACGTGATGTAATTAGACCCATATGGTGCTGGCTGAGTCTCCACCCGTGTCTGAGCCGGGGGAGACCCGAGACCGAAGTCCCGACCATACCACCACCGCGACGGCCTTCATATACGATCCCGCCACGCCACCTGTCACCAGAGCATGCTGACCAAGACAGCACTTCGCATATCCTCGGAACATCAACTCATTTCACACAGTGAAGTCTGAACAATGAAAGGCAGCTACTTCCTGCAGCAGAGGGCTACAAACAAGAAGCCTAGCCGCATCCCTTGCCAAATATCTTCATTTCCCCAAACCCTTGACTCTAAGCGCGCACATCTCGCAGCCCTTGCGAGACACGACAGGAGACGGCCCTGAGGCAGCAGGCCGCCGCCGGCGGTGGCTGCGCGCACTTACGATGCGGAGGCGCGACACCTCGCCGAACGACAGCACCGAGAGGATCTTTTCGAGGATCTCGACGGGCAGGTCGAGCACGTGCAGCTGGGCCGTGCGCCGCGGCGGCAGCGGCTTCTGGAAGATGGAGCGGCCCGGCTGCGCGCCCCCGCCCTCCGACGAGCACTCGAAGCAGTCGTCCTCTTTGTCCTTGCCGAGCGGACAGGCGCCGCCCGCGTGCGACAGCCGCGTCAGCACCATGGTGACCGGCTAGCGCACCTGCAACGGCGGCGCGCGTCACCACACACCCGCGGCCCCCGGCACCGGAAGGCGGCATTGCGTGCTGCGGCCTGGGACAGGCTGCACGCCGGTCCCCATGGCCGGGATGGTCAGGGATGGATGGATGGTTGTGGCAGTTGGCTGTTTTTGCCACAATATTGCAGGAGGCATGATTATTTTCTTACTGGTGGGGGGGGGGGGGGGTTAAGGAAGTGCCTTGGTGGCTGTAGACTGGCATCTGTGCTCTGGTTAACTAACCCCTGTGGTTGTAAGCTCACTTTTATATCTGTACACCAAGCAGTAAGCTACTGACAAACACAGAACACTTGCCACAGCAACTTGGAGCCATACATATGGATTTCATGGACCTTGAGAATGGTAAGATCCTTCTTTAAAGCCTGCCATGCTCCTGCTGCCATGCCATGCTAAAGAGTGGGAGACATGGGATGAGACACATTTTAGCTGTGCAAGGCTTTCAGCTAGGTGTGTTATTGTGCATGCCACCATTCCAGGAGCATGTAAATCCAGTTTATAACACACAAAAAACATAAGCATTTCTGTCCAAAAGTTATACCATATTATACAGCCTCATCTATGACTCTACACTGCATATCTTGCTGAATCAGTATCTGTTGCTGTTCCTATTCTTTATCCCATGGTACAGCCATCTCAGAGCCTACATATGTCTTGCTAATGACACAGTTAAAACTAGAGTTAATATACCCACCACACCCTCCACAGCATTTCAGCAGTACATGAATATATGTATCAAACCTGCTGTTGCATATTTGAAACAATTCAGACATCTAGCTTATTTCATACATCCCTCTGCACAAAAGTACAGTGACTGTAGAGCATACAAGCATGCCTTACTTTTAAGAATAACTTCCATAGACAACAGACAACACCAAACATACCAGACAAGAACTCTACAAAGGGCAGCTTATTTCAGTTGTCATAATGGCCAGAACCAATTAACATAATGCATGCAAATATTTCATCACATGCCATAAATTATGACTTCTTTGCTGCTCAAGCATGACTATAATTTTCAACTCCCATTATGGCAGACTGCCAAGAAAAACCACATGATTTTAATTTCAGTCAGCTACTCTTTCTAGCTTCTAATACACCTAAATTAATACCTGGTGAACCCATCTATTGTCATCACTTGCTAATTCTGATGCACACTTTGAACAGGAAACATGCCATTTTGGATCAAAATTCTAAAAATTACTTTGGAAGTCATCAGAAAATGTCAAAATGCTGTCCCATGCCCTCTACATTTAGTTGGGAAAATTGTTAACCTCTTGCAACCAAATATAAGAAGAAATCCTGGGAACGATTCACCAGAATGCTGTAAGTGTGCCAGAATTAACGTACAGAATGTTTTATAAGTCAAGCCATCAAGGGAGCAATTTATCTGTGCATCCTTTCTAAGCTAGCAAACTTGGCACCATATGCATGCAAGGAGCAGATGGTGGCTTGTCACCTAAGTTGTATTGCCACATACAAAGTGAACCATGAATATATGCCTAGGAATGAATCTGTGCAATCACTGCAGTGATCTCCCACATAGGAAGCATTACTTGCATACACATACAGGACAAAGGCATAATAGGCTGTATGCAATTGGGGCATGACAATCAATTTTGCAGTGAATTGCTGAGTTACAATTGGGGATAACTGAAACTAAACATCTGCATTAGTAGACTACAACTCCATCAGAAGACCTTAGGCCAACACACATATAGCACACACCATACATCTTAACTATCTGGAGGATGGGTGGCAACAAGAATGCATACTATTATTTTTCAAATGATGCTAGAGACCATGGCAATGCAGGAAAATCATATTAGGTATTGGGCATGTGAAGCAAGGCAAGGCAAGGTAGAGGAAAAATGTATATTTTCATCTATAACAAAATATTGAATATCATGTAATATTAAAAAACACTGTGCTCATTTGAAGACAAACATCAAGAAGAGTCAGGAAGTGGTAGTTCATCTTTAACAGACATCCACCTGTGACATGAGCCATACATTATTAAACATCAAGGCATTAGATCCTCAATAAGCACAGCGAGCATGCCACCAACATTACCATTGCTAAAAAGTTTGAAATAGCATAGAAATACTGTAGAATGATTTAAGAGGCATTGAGCCCAATCTAGCCAGTCCCATAAAAGCAGGCCTATGCTTGGCTGCCCAGAGTTCTGACATACACACAAGGGCTTCATGCATTCAATTGATTTAAACACATTGCAAACACCTGCTAAGCACATATGTAAGTGCCTATATGTCTAGCTCCTAAATTACAGCACACACAGACAGAACATTCTCAGAGTAAGACAGCACAGTTCGGCATAAATATGAAGTGGAACTATCAGTACCTGTTTATGGGTTGAGATATTACAAGATCATGCTCACTTACCACGTTCGATAAAATCATAAAAGAGCAGTCATGACTTCAAACATTTCATACACAGATGCATAAACTTGCATAAATTGCAGAGACAATCACAAGTCCACCATTTTTAGAATTTTACGTGCCGCGTTGCTCCTGGAAGTGCATCTGCGCTCCTGCATTTCACTTGCAGCAGTCGCGTTGTAGGATCCGTACTACACCCCTGGGTTTAGATGATGGACTCGTCCATGATTACCGATCCGTTTTTACGTTATTTCGTTTATTTGCTTATGACCTAATAAATTAAGATTCAACTGAAACTGTGTCAATCTTCCAACACATTTTTGTTTTAGGTATCAATCGGATTTTCCATTTTACCACGGTTACGCACAACAGAAAAGCTGGGCATTGCTGGTATCGCCTCGATGCGTGTGTTGACTTTCAACGTGCTGTTATTGGCGTCGGATCTTAATGATGAGAAGGTTGGGAACGGTTGCTAGATAGAATGTAACCAGGGTGGGTAGAGATTGGGAAAGCTACAAAAGCTCCCCTCCAACCAGGTCAACAAAACAGACATCATTTTTGTTTCATGTTGCAAGGAATGAAACCAGGTAGCCGCGTTCGCTACCCCACGTACGTCAACGTGCCATTTAAAGCAGTGGATGGTGAGGCGGCATATGGTTCAGCGAGCTACGGGCGCGTTTTCAGCAGCGGGATCATACATGAAGAGGGCCTGCAAACGGCATGCGTTCACCCGTTTCGCCTGACACAAAGTAACCGATGCCAGGTTAAACCGCGTGGATCAGCAGTCTTTTGATTCGGTATCCTCGGGCGCAAATGTGCCAATTTATCCCCTTCGGGCGCCGACAAACGGACCTGATGAACGGACGGACAAAAGATGGACTCGGACAAGCAAAACCTACCAAATGAAACGCCCAACCTGAAACGGGGAGCACTCGTCGTTTGATACTTCCGAGGACACCGGCGACACGTGACGCCACGCCACGGCAACATAACGGCCTCTGCAGAAAACTACATGAGCCACTGGCAATCTGGCTGACTGGGTTACATAAAAAAACGTAGGCAAAAGATCGTTGCCGACGTAGTGAGTCCTCATCAAGCTAGCCTTCCCGATGGTCACCTCCACAACGATCACAGCTATCTTGAGCCTATGTACGGCGTACATGACCTACACTTCCGTGGCGTCTCTCTCGCCACGGTGGGCGATGTTTGTAGCCTCTTACCGTGGCCGACACGGGCTGCCGCGTCAGGCCGTCTGACGGAAGGTGCCGATCCCAGGCTCTAGCAGACAATATCACGTCATCTACACACCGGCCGCGGTTCGGCTTAGCCAAAAGCGGCGTACTGAGAACCGTGAGTATATTGCCGGTTAGTTTACAGGGCACTGAGCACTCGGGTCCAAACATATCGCTGGCCTTGGGGTGCAGGAGGCGAGCGGGCTGACGTGTACCGAGCGCAGGCGCTGGCCAACAACGGGAGCGCGCCTGCCCGGGGAGGCGGCGCCGAGGCACCGCTCCCAGCCAGGACGCGGCCGGACACCGGGGCACGTCTGCCCAACCGCCACCGCATCGAGCGCCAGGGTCCGAGCGAGCCAACCACTCGCGGACGAGCGAGTAACAGGCCGGCACAGCAGCACACCGCTTACAAGGCACCGCACAGACCACACCTTTTCTTAGTATATTCTACAAGTTCTCAGCAAGCGGCCTCGTACCGGGACGGGGTCACGTAACCACGGCCGGCCGCGGGCCTCGCGGAGCTCCCCGGTCAGTTTCAGGAGCGCCGGTCATGCGGCGGCCCACCGCCGGTCACGTGACACCCCGACCGGGACGAGGCCGGGCCCTGCCGTCTCTCGCCGGACCACACGAGCCGCACTTCAGCGACCGCCGCCGTCCAACCCTCGCGATCAGGACAGGCTAATAGGTTAATTGCCACATGAGATGCGTAGAAAAGTACAATGTTACCTAGCATGGCCATCCGTTTTTTCTGCGCTTGCCCGGTACAGGAGTGCATTGCCGGTAGCTGTCGAGCGGTCGAGGCGACACGTCAAGTGGTCTGCTAGATTATGTAACATCCCGCATGCCATGCTGCCGCCTTTGAGGTAGCAGGGGCGCATGCGCTGATCGTCAGCAGCACAGCGCGACGTCCACCCGTGGGGAGAGTGGTGCAAGTCGTCGTGAACACGTCGCGATGACAGGGGTCCTTCGCGAGGGGGGACGACATGACCTCCGAGCGGGGCACGGGGCCCCAGACGGGGCGGCGGGCCGGTGTGGAGCCCGGAGCTGCTTCAGACGATGACGCACGAGGCCGGCTGCAGCTTCTCCACCTGCCGGGGCGCCTGGCCGTCCGACACGTCCTTCACCACAGTCACCACCTCCTTGAAGTCAGGGAATGACATCGTCTGCAGCTTGGAGTGGACCAGCTGCTCGTTGATCTTCACCTCGAAGGAGCCTGCAAACACGGAAATCAGCGCTTGCGTGAGCCAGCCCGACGGCACACTTCCACCCTGTGCGACAAACCGCGGAAATGTCAAATTTCCGTCCGCAAACTTACTGTGTACAACGTACCGTTTCCTTTTTCTTAGATCTAGCCCCTAAACTTTGAGATAAAGTGGGCCAAATCCGGGCGAAAACAGCTTGTTGACACATTTTGGGAATAGGTGTCGACATTTTTCCGTTCAGTCCCAACTCAATTTGCCGAATCACGCACCTAAGCTAAACGGAGCTTAGTGAAGATCAGCACGATAAACACCACACACTCAACCAATTGTCGGTAATGAAGACAGAGTAGCTCGGAATAGGTGTCGCCTTACTGGTCCTGCCGACGAACCCCTCCACTTCGGCACCGGGTACATTGCACTGTATCAGCTCCTGTAGCTCCCGGTACCGGGGCCCGTACCCTCATCCGCCGCTGAAACAGAGCCACCGCGCGCATGACGTCAGCAGGCTGGACGTGCGCGACACACCGGTCAGGATACCACAGCCGGCGAACGACCGATCTCAAGCACGGTCCAACACAGCATTCGAGTCAGCCTGGGCTGTTGTGGCGCATCAGTGCGAGCACCGCAGGCTCCTTTGTCGTCGCCTGGACGCGAGGCCACGGCGAGTCCAAGGAGCCGAGCGTGACCTCGTCAAAAGCTGCTGAAGTCGAAACGCCAAATGAGTCACCAGCGCCCGTAAACAATTTTTTTTCCGGGATCGGACGCAGCGGAAGAACTGCTTGCACCGGTTTTATGTCCACCAACTTAATGCTCGCTTTGTTTTTCGGGTTAAGCTCGAGAGCACTACGCATTTGCCGACAGTGTATGGGAGTGGATGAGATGTGAGGCGAGCAACAAAATGCCGAGGTTGTGACGCCACCAGGGGCCGGGAACGGAATTCCGGCGATGACATTAATCCCGAGTCCCGCCATTCTTGACTGCCACCGCTGAGATGCCGATACTTGAGAAAAAATGCGCTGAGCTGGATTAACATAGACGGCATCCCTTCCCCATCACAACACATCATGCGAGGTGGCTGCCCCAGACAGGGCGTCTGCGGCGGGACCAAGGGCGTCTCCGACGAGACCACGGGCGTCTCCAGCGAGACCACGGGCGTCTCCAGCGAGACCACGGGCGTCTCCGACGAGACCACGGGCGTCTCCAGCGAGACCACGGGCGTCTACGGCGAGACCGAGAGTGTCTCCGACGAGACCACGGGCGTCTCCGGCAGGACCACGGGCGTCTCCGGCGAGACCACGGGCGTCTCCGGCGGGACCACGGGCGTCTCCAGCGAGACCACGGGCGTCTCCGGCGAGACCACGGGCGTCTCCGGCGGGACCGCGGGCGTCTCCGGCGGGACCGCGGGCGTCTCCGGCGGGACCACGGGCGTCTCCGGCGGGACCACGGGCGTCTCCGAGACCACGGGCGTCTCCGGCGGGACCGCGGGCGTCTCCGGCGGGACCGCGGGCGTCTCCGGCGGGACCACGGACGTCTCCGACGGGACCGCAGGCGTCTCCGGCGGGACCGCGGGCGTCTCGCTGCGCTGATGTATTGCGGTACGTATTCAACAGAGGAGGGCCGGAGATGCTTTCGACTTATTGGCACCTGGGTCGCTGAGCCCGGGGCAGCTGGAGGCTTGATAGTGAGCCGTTGACCAGCCAAACAGCTGACGAATTATTTTGAAAGTGATCGACACCATGCGCGTTAGATGACGCGAAACGTGACAGCTTAAAATGGCATGGTTCATCTGGCTGTTCAGACAGCTGTGTAATCCAAGCCATCTCCAGCGTGTGTTTTCGAAAGGTACACTACCCCGAAAGTCATGTGGAAACTGAATTCCTTCATGCATGGCACAGTGCAAAGACCTAAATATATTGTTCCAAACAGCTGCAATATTTGTAACTGTGGATCACAATTAGCTTGCGGAGCGTGTCACACGCACATGTCCACAGCCGAGCACAAAGGGTGGTGCCACTGTTGGCTATTAGTTGTTGAAAATGCTGCGGGCGCAAATTGATTCGCAAATAAATTCATGCATGCCCAGTTTAATAAAGCACGGTAAATTGATCGTTTCCTTGGTGGTCGTTGCGCCAAAGTGTGTCCGGCGTATTTGTGAACGCGTGTAATGTGCCTGTGTGTTTAATTAAACACGCACGAACTAAAAGTTTGTGCGTGGATCGTGCGTCTATGGTTTTAAAAACCGGACTGCTTCCGCAATTGGTCTTTGCTAGTAGATAACGTACGCTCTAAATAAGCGAATAAACAAGTCCTCCTCTAAATCTTGCGCTTTGACTTTACTTACTATTTCCCGTTTATTATGACATAACGTCGTGCGTGGGTGTGCTCATTGGTAACTCATGTCTGCCTCAGTTACTAAACGATTACAATAACTAACAACAGTTAACAACAGTTACAACAATCGTTAGTTTAATACAAGCATGGCTTCATGCAAGTTAGAACGCGCAGTCATACATGGATTTGTTGCATTTCTGCCATATTCCAGTATATCTGAACTGACAAAAAAAGCTAGATATAACTACGCCAATAAAACGATCACATCACTTGCTTGTCTTTCAGAGCCGTGAAAAACCTCACGGTCACCCTTATGCCAGAGCGTCCCTCCCTCTTTCGCTCCTCGTAATATTACTGACCACGTTGGACCGAACTCCATAAGTCTGGCGCACGTCCTTCAGCGCCTTCTTGAGCAGATACCGTTCGGTAAACGGCGCATCTCAGGGGACGTGTTCAATATCGTGTTCCTCGCCACTACCATCAATGTCGGCAACCGTCCCCACAGCCTCGACGCGTCAAGAGCTCGCCGAGGAGCGACAGTTTCGGCTGACAACGGCGCAGTTGCAGAGGCGGAGAAGATTGACAGATTCCGTATGTTTGCTTGGAACACAGCCGTGCCCCTGCGTCGCCGTCGGTGGGTGTTCTGGCGGACGGGCCGTCCAAACACGCGCGCAAGGTGCACGACCCGCTGCGGGATCTCCTGGACGTGGTCTGGATCGCGGGCTCATATTTCAAAACCTGATGAAGTGTTTTCAATCTGGCAAAGCCTTGCAATGTGCAATACCTACGTCGCATACAGCAGACAAAAGCAGAGTAAGGCTCCAGAATCCACTTGCCCGACTTTGGCTTCGAGCTCGACCTAACTCTGGTCTTGAGCTCGACCTGACTCTGGCTTCGAGCTCAACCTGGCTCTGGCTTCGAGCTCGGCCTGGCTCTGGCTTCAAGCTCGACCTGGCTCCGGCCTTGAGCTCAACCTGGCCCTGACTTCGAGCTCGACCTGGCTCAGGCTTCGAGCTCGACCTGGCTCAGGCTTCGAGCTCAGTCACCTCTCGAGCACACACCTTTCATACGTGACCCCGAACAATCAGCGTCCGCGCGATGGCCGAGTAGACTCAGCCACCACAGCCATCCTCCACAACAGTGGTCATGACACGGCCCTCAACATCATCGTGGGAGCGTGTCCAATGTCACCGTCGTATGACAGCGGAAGAAAGCTTGTCCCCTGCTATAAGTCCCCTGCTATAACAACCGCGCGACAAAGATGGATCACCTGTGAAAACTCCGTCACTTCCCTCAAGCTGACGCTGAAATGAACGCATGCGACGTTTGTTAGTGTAGGTGATTCAATTGGCTCTTATTTCTATTTGAAGAGAAATCGCCTTCGCCATCCGTGATCATGGTAGTCCGCTCTCTGCCGCCCGTAGAGCATTTCCTAAGCTTCAGGCATACGCAACTGGACACCTGCGTTGCAGTGGGTACCAGAGACACACCCTTGGAATCAGCTCGTATACATGTAAATATATATATATATATATATATATATATATATATATATATATATATATATATAGGCATATATATTGCTGACCGACGTATTTTTTCGCGGCACATGTTTGCCACGTCCATATCATAGCATCCGTGTCAATATCGAGGAAACATATCTTTTGTCATTGCAGAAAAACCGAGACATTGATCGCTGTGGAGGAGCCGTATCTTCCATAGAGATGTCCTCTTAGGCACACGCCCCCTTCCTTTTTTGTGGTGGAATCCCTTCATCTCACGGCTCACGGCACATCGTAACTTTCGGAAACACCGAATGTCCGGAGGTGCTCCGAGAGTCCGCTTTCCCATTACGCCCGCGATAAGTGCAGAACGGACCAGTCGCCCAAGGGCTGATGGTCGGTGCTTCCTAGAAAGGGTGCACTGCATCAATTAACCGCATCTGCCTGCCCACGCGTCGCTCCACAGCTCAATCGGTAGGCTGAACGGACGTCTGAGCACAAGAACCGTGCCTCGCCTCATTTAATGCGCATGATCTTGTCGCAGCATGTTCATTTTGGCCTTTGACAGGATAAAACACAATGCGTATTTGTTGTATCATTTCAACGTGAGCCGCCTTGGCTTCCTTAAACTGGTACATTACGTACCTTAACATTTTTTTGCAGCGTTACAACGTAATTATTTGTAGCGTAAATGTTATTTTTTTGACACGTGGCATCACGTATTTCTATGTTTAACCCACATCATTTGCATTTTGACTGCCATCTTACTATGCTATAAAAAGCATACCACTACCATATCTAAAGTCACCGACCAAGGGGACAAGGCATACGACTTTGCCTTGAACGGCTTTGACTGAATGCGTTTCGCTCTCAATCATAAAAGGCGTGTTTTCGATATGCAGGGGGTTAATTAAGCAACTGACAACTATGCCATGTTTTTTACGCCCCTTACAGGTGTGATTTGTCTAAGCATTTACACGACACTCCTGAATATGTCCTTGTTACGTTGCAGAGCTGACTCTTTATTTAGCATCTAGGGGCCATGCGATGGTACTATCCGCATAAACTGACAGAACAGTATGCCCACGATCAATACCGATTTAAGCTCCTCAGGCCGTGACATCGAGGCCCAAAACGGTGGTGGAGTCGCGTGACTTCGCCGCTACATCCGCATGACGCATATGTTGACCCCGTGCATTACACAGCTGGTTCAAAGCGGGTTTACTCAGAACGCCCTGCTCCCAGCCGGGCGAAATGTTTGATTCGCAGGTACCCTGGACAGCTTAGCGATGGGTCTCAAAGCGGCGTCCTATCGGGAACTGTTAGCGGTAGCGGCCATCTGTTTGTGATGGCAGCTCCACCAGAACCGCCGGTATGGTAGCTCCAGCAGCACCTAAGTATGGCAGCTCCAGTAGCACCGAAGCATGCCAGTTCCAGTAGCACCCAAGTATGGCAGCTCCAGAAACACCTAAGTATGACAGCTCCATTTATACCGAAGTATGACAGCTCCAGTAGCACCTTAAGTATGACAGCTCAACCAGCACCCTAAGTATGGCAGCTCCAGTAGCACCGACATAAGGCAGCTCCACCAGCACCCTAAGTATGACAGCTCCAGTAGCACTCTAAGTATGGCAGGTGAACCAGCACCGAAGTATGGCAGGTCAAGCAGCACCCTAAGTATGACAGCTCCACTAGCACCTTTCGTTAGCACCTTTCAACATAATCGTCATTCTGACTCTTCGCTTCCATTTGCCATTTTTCTTTAGTGCTGGTGATGTCATTATTGTCATCCCAGACACTCCTGCTGTCCTTGGGGTGCCCCTGTTGTCCTTGAAGCGGCACCGTACCCACGCTGCTTACTGAATGGCGCGTGCTGATTTCGTGGCCGGCGCCGGCCGCAGGGCCGTGTATGCTGCTGAGTTTAGAGAAGTAGAGGCCATTTTGTCAAAACCCAGGGTATGCGCACCACTTTGTCGTCAGGATCCAGTCACTGCAGCACCAGAGGCCTGCTCCAGTCTTCCAATGTAATTCACCGTTTTTTTTTTGTTTCGCTTCCACGCTGTGACAACTTCGGCGTCGAAAAAAAACGTCACACGGAAAACCACCAGTCTGTCGCACGCTGCTATCCCATCCGAGAA